TCACAGTGGAATCAATCGGAACATTTTTTACAGTGAGTTTTTTGATAAATGTTTGTTTATCATGGTTAGTTTAAGCAATCACGCTTAAAATTTTAAACAAACTTAAGTCACCCGCCGGCCGCCGTGCCTTACAATTATGTGTCAGTGCCGTGTAACATATATTAGGGTACAAGTGTTGCGCAGGCAACACCTTAAATATGGGTAGATGGGTATTGATAGAAGAAATTGTATAGGTCGGTATAATAGCAGTGTGATGAAGGGTAGGTCACCTAAAATTATTTGAGCAACACCTATTTTTTTATGATACACGCATAGGCGGAGATCTTGTGAAATATTAAGGGGGGCTCAAATATTTGATGACGAACAGATCCGTGGGGACATTGCCTCCACACCCCCAACAAACTAATTTTTACATTAAATCACTCACAAAAAATTGTTATCGTTGACTCGTTGTCATAACAACTTAAATAGTTACAAACAAAATAAAAAGAATAATTAATAAACGATTTAAATTTAAATATTTCAAACATATTTGAACGAAATTATTTATTAAAAATCTAAATCACAATCTCAAAAGAAATGTATTCCCAATAACATCAAACAATAAGTAAAATATAATTTAGTATAAAATGGTCAATATACGGTTAACGATTCATTCAATCGCGATAAACTTTACGATAGGTTTAATACAGCTATAGCGATAGTCCTATAATAGCTATCGCTTCCCGAGAATTAACAAAAATTAGAAAAAGAAATAATATTTTTCCCATCTAAAATAGAATGGTATAATATGTTATTCAATATAGATGGCCAATTGGTACAAAATATGTACAATATATTAGGTATATAAACACAATATAATATTATTGTGAATTGTGAGTTGTGACTTAATTGTTCGATATGTTACCGTAAATAATAAATTGGTAAATAGTGTGTATGTAATGTATCTACTAGGTACACTTATATAATTGTGGATATAATAAGAATATAAAATAATGAAAAAAGTTCTGCAAACTGTATAAAATTACGGTATTGTTTGTTTAATATTCTTAGGGGGTCTTTAACTTCAAATCATTTATTTTGGGGGGACTAAGCCCCCGTAATCCTCCCCCCCCCGATCTCCGCCTATGGATACACGCCACTGATATGTGAATAGGTATACAATTTGTATGTATATTTTAATTAATAACTAATTTTCCGCTCAACTTTCTTAATTTTTTAAAAGAAATTGGTATTTTTTTAAATTTTTTGGTTGCAATAAATTGGTGAATCGGGCAGATCGGGTTTAAGAATGCATCAAATTGAATTTTAGTACATTGCCTAACAAGGTGGCTGTCGACTGAGTTTCACTTATATATGCTATCTAGCCGATCATCGGCGTGTACACAATCAAAATAATTAACTATAGAATCATTTTTTAATAACAATATATGGATATAGAATCATAAGAATCATTTTTAATATTATTATTATAATTTTTTTTTTTTTGAAAGAATTTTTCAAAATTATACCTCTAAGGTGGTAAGGGGTTTTTTTATATAGCTATATTATAATACACAGGACAGCTAGTTATCTAATAAAGCCTTTAAATTACATATGTTGTCATAGAGTAAATATAGGTACTTATATCTATATATTGGCACATAATACATATTATATATATATGCAAAAGTGGTATAAATAAGCTATATATATAATTACTATAGACACGTACTAGAACGACGATGAAAACTGGACAAATACATATAAATACGACACGGAACATTTGTTATACAAGACAACACAGACACCTCATATGTATACAAATATAATTTATATATATAATATGTGAATATTGTGAGAGTGTATAGGTACTATAATATATGTAGGTTGATATATATCGTGGACAAGAGGTTCCGGTTTGCACCTATATAGTAATAGGTGCATGATAGGTATACATATGAGGTACATATATATATATACCAGATATATACCAGTATATATATAATATGTATAACAAATCGTGGGTAATCGTGTTTTACACGGTTATTTGACGGCGTGTGCTGGCGTTATTCACCGGCCTCTCCACGCTGTATATTATACTGCAGCTACACACATTATATTTAAATATTACAAGATGGTAGTTATAATAATACATATACGACGCACTCGCGGAACAAATCACACACAGGCAGGATAGGATGCCGGACAGACATATAGGTATATATAGCTATTACATTATTACCTGTACCTAATACCTATATTATACTATATATAATTACACGCTTTTCTATTCTATATGTTACCTATATACATGCCTATTGTAGGTACACGTGCCAATGGCGTCAAATATTACAGATGATACGCGTGGATATGAGGTACATTATGTGAATATATGTATATAATATTATAGTAGGTATATGGGTGGGTTTAATAGGTGTATATATATATGGGGTATATATTGCAGCGCTTATTGGAGGTGCGTCTTCTTATATATTTCGCTGCATATACCTATATATACCTGTAGTACTTGTATATGATACTATTATAATATAAGTACTATTATATTATTACTATAGAACACTCTAATGAATTTTCGAAATTTCTAAATGTAATAACACATAGATGCGGTTGCTTTTCAAAAAAAAAAACAGTATAAAGTATACTATATAATAGATTACAAGTATAAATGTTACACAAATACTATTTAAATAATGTTTGGTATATATATATATTAGTCCATTGCAGTCAATCACATTAAATATACTTATATATGGACATTAGTTTTGATTCATCAATCGTAACACGTAACTTTCATTTAATTAACACTTTATATACATGTAGATACTATAGCTATGTGAACACTTTATAGCCTTAAAGGTATTTAAGTCTATATGTTCATATACAGGGTGCAGCATAAGTCGGTTCCCGCTGTTTTGTTATCGCAAAACTGCTTATTATTGTTATTAATTTATAATTAATTAGTTTTTTTATAAATCTATATAAAATATACATATTTAATTTGCTGTGTTAATTGGGGAACCGACTTATGCCGCACCCTGTATACATGCAGCAAAATAGTGCATTTAGATTCTAATAATAAGATAAATGCATCACCTACAATATTAAATTTAAAATTATTTAAGTTTTATTTATCAAAGCTGTTAGAATTTTAGAAATCGCACCTGCAGTGAGCCCTAAAATATTTTTAATTATAATAATTGTAATTTTGTTCTGTCAGCGTGTTTGATTAGCTATATGGGTAGGTAACTTTATATGACTCAGTTGTTTGGTCTCCGTTCACTGTTTGACTTATCCAATGTACTGAATCTATTCAGAATCCATTTTTAAAGGTTAATAACTGTCAATTAATGAATATTTCTTTAACACAAATACATGCATTATATATAGATATACGTAACCTATATATTCCTGTACCTATATCTTAAGTTTATAATTTATTTATGTCTTAACGCATAAAACACCAGCAATATATTATGTATATACAAATACCTATATATATTATAGAAAAACATATATATGTACTAAGTACTTACCAATATCATTTTATACAATATATATTTTATTGTTATTGCGCTTATTATTGTTCGTTTAGAACTAAATAAATATCGTATAATATGTATATATACGTATAAGAAGCATATATTATAATAAACTTATACTTACAAATATATAGCTATGTTCTCATTTAGGCGTAAGGATACTTATTTACAAGTGTTGTTATGTATAATTTTATATTTTACATTATGACCCTGTATACAAATCTGGGGCTTGGGTTAAAAGGGGCCAATCTAACTTTTTATCACTTTTGGAAAATGAAGAATAAACACAATTTTTGGTTTTTTTTGATATTGCGGTAGTAATTTTTTCTTACAACATTAGTCTTCTAATATCTCACAATAATAATTATTGAGATACGTCATTTTACCACTAGAAAAGCGTATACAGTTTTATATGATTGGCCATATAATTATACAATTTATTTTCACCAAAAAGTGAGATTGGCTATTTATGACCCAAGCCTCAGATAACTATGTCTTCCTGGCAGCAGGTCTCTGATACAAAACATTTTTAATTCTGCAGAGAATGTCGGAAAAGTGCCCTATATCCAAAAGAACTAGCTATTAGTTGGGGTCACCAAAAAACATATTATTATTATCAGCACCCACGCATAATAATATTGGTAAACACCTTTTTAATGTTATTATTGCTGCACTTTGTATGTAATCATACTACTATTATTATTAATATGCATCACGATTCATTGACGACGAAAAAAATCGGCGAGATCGTCGAGCGGAGGACGGCGGCGCGCGCGACGTCGTTGGCGGCCTCGGCAAACATGGTAGGCGATATGGCGGCGCCCAGCGATTGGTCGACGGCCGGTCACGTGCGGGGCGTGCCTTCCGGCGCCGTTTTCCCCTCCTCCCGGTTACGGCGAAGACTGCGGCGAGCACCGGCCCCGAGCGTCGCCGCCGCCGCCGCCGCGCGTCAGTATGCCCAAAACGGTGTTCCGAGTGTGTTTCTGTGTGCGTGCGCGCCGCCCGTAGGTATATCGTACCATATGATCGTAGGGAATAAAAAAATTGTCTCGTCATTCGTCCTCCGTTTAGTGTCGAGTGCTGTTGACCGGATCACCGTCGGCGGGACACTTGGATATAGAATAATAATAATATACTCGCCGGACCGCGCGCGCGTGCGAATTATCGTCGTCAACGTTTCGTTTGTTTTTGTCGGCGTCATTAATTGGTAATCGTTACACCGCCCGCATGTAACATTTTCTTCTATAACACCCGTCCCGTTGTGTTTTTTTTTTTTTTGAGCTCGTACTTTGGGCTCGGACAGCCCTCCGCCCCCGTATATTTCGATCACCGTCGTCGTAATAATAGCAGTGCCGTATACTATTATAACTTCGTACGTTTTTTTAACCATCCATACAATAAGTGCAGTAACAGTAGGTGTAACATTATATAGTGCATGTTGTATTGGATGCGCCAACGATGAATTCGTTTCTCACGCACAACACCCTGCCTTATCATCAACCGACGCAGATGCACCAGATGATGATGGCGGAGCCCAAATACTCGCCGCCGGACGATTACGGCAACATGCAGAACTACATGGGTTCGCCGGACTTTTTCGGCAGCCCTCACCACCAGCATCATCACCACCAACATCAGCACCACCACCCCTCTCATCACGCCAATCACCTGAGCCAACAGACTCAACACGTCGGCAGTAATGGCGGCGGTGGTGGAGGCGGCAGTGGTGGCCACCAGCAAGTGCAGGCAAGCGTTGGTGGCGTCGGTGTCGGTAGCTCCAGTGGCCTCGGGGTAAGCGGCGGCGGTGGCGGTGGCCACTATCAGGGAAACTATCAGCAACACATGCAGGCCATGTACCCGAGCCCTGGCCAGACGCCGTCGTATTACACCAGCGCGGCAACCAATTATGGCGCGTACCAGATGCACCATGGTGGCCAAATGCCACTCGAGGCGCAACAACCCCCGGCCTCCCTGATGCACAACGCCGTGGGGCAACAGTGCCAGGGCGGCAGCATAATACCGTCCGGGGCCGGCGGTGGCCTACAATCCGTAGCCCTTAACGCGGTCATGTCGCACGACATCAAGGACGACTCGTCGCCGTCTCCGCTGCCTTGCCACCTCCAACCCAGCCCGTCGTCGTCCAACCACATGTCCAACAACCCGCTGGACGGGTCATGCTCCGACGACATGGACGACTGCAACACGGACACGGACGAGATGATGATGACCACGGTCAACGGGTCACCGATCATGATGGACGACAGCGAGTCTTCAGACCGGGTCATCTATCCGTGGATGAAGAAGAACCACGTGGCCGGAATGCGTAAGTCCTGGAGATTACCTAAACATAGATATTATAACTCATTGATATATTATCAAACAATAAGTATGATGCATTACCTATGTATAGGTTAGTAGCAAGCATATAAGACTTGACCCAGAGTTGTCGATATACCTACTTATTGTGTCCTATTCTAATATGCATTTGTCAACATTTCTATAGGTTTATAGGTGTATCTACATTGAATTTTATGTCGTACATAGTTATTATATATTACATTGTACAGTTCACTAAAACTTTTTCAAGTTCAACGTCTTACTGTGTCATTGGTACAACACTACTCAATAATCATATTGCAAAAATATGATAAACGACACAATATTGATGTGTCATATCAGCTATTGTCACATCTAACGTTTTTGGTCTTAAAATATCAGCCAACACTACTGTAGTTATAATGTAATGGTTTTAAATACACATAGTGTCAATACTATAAACATTCAATCCTTCGAGTTTAAAGGTAGTGCAATTTAGGGGGGAGGCTCATCGATATCGTGGATTCCGTCATTAAACGTCTACTATTAGTGGTGTACATCCCATGTAGCGATCACTTTTTATATACATTTTATATATTTATTATACAAATGTAATTAATTTTGAAGTGGGTGATGTGTAGAAAGGAATTGTGTTCGCTAAATGTTTTGAAATCACATCATGCGCCACTGTCTGTATATATATTTTATATTTTATAATAACGACTTATAGACCTATATGTATACGTATATATGTATTCCATATTGTAGTGCCTTTCAAACCATTTAATAATCGGTCACTGTGAACTGCAAAGTATATCATAAGATGTCCGTAAGTTCTAACTTTTAAGTCGCAATCGCTATAAATAAAACAATGTATTCATACATGAACTATACGCGTTCTTCAGTACGCCTAACTCTATCTTTAATAAATATCTCAATCGATTTTGTTGAATATTATGACGTATAGGTAGGTAATATATTGAGCATAAACAAAGTAATATCACTCGATCAATATATTATATAAGGTGTTCCTACCTATAATAATACGATAAATTCTCGTTTATGCTATGTAGGTACCTAAATATTTCAAAGTTACAGCATCGAGTTGATATAATATATATCAATATAATACCTGCTCTTATATAATACCTACTCTACCTTGCTCCCTGCTATAGTATATATGACAATATGTTTGATATATATGTTTATAGTGCGAACTATATATCTGTTGCAAAAGGTCAGACGTATTTTTTTTCTCACTTAATAATACGTTTTGAGTGTATCACGCAGTGCGTGTGATACGTTTATGTGCGTATACGTATGCCCATTGATGCGTCATGTTCATTGATAGTGTGCTGTTTTTTAGCGGTAGTTTTCCGTCATTGACGCGTCCCATACCTGCTCATGTATTAGGGTATTCGCAATGTCCTGTTGACATGTCGTAATACAATTGAACTGTGGTCGTTTGAGAAGTTTTGGTCTTATAGATCACGTTTCCCGTTTACATAATACACTTAACCTTATAAACGTCATTGTCGCCGAAAAGTACCCATCAATCCATTATGTTTATTTCGCGAAAAAAAGGCGATATAAACCACCGTAACAAATTGAACAATACCACATACCGCTACAACAGGAGGCATTATATAATCTATATTATGTTATGGCCATTTCTCAAAAAAGAATTTGGCCACTGTCCATATTTAGACACCGTAAAAACATCTTATACACACCAAAAAAAAAGAAGTTTTTTCTCCTCTATTATATATTATCTAAATACGACTTCCTGTATACGGTTTCTTATTGTATAAATGACATATCTACCGAAGGATAATTCACGTTTTATTTTTTTTTCTGGAACCTAAGAAAGCTAAATGTCTTACCTATACTCACGTGGGTTCGTATATATAAATAGTATAATATTACGTAAATATCATAATATATAATATTAAAAATTGTATTTTCCGTTGCGCGGCTATACCTACTCGTATGTCCAAGCACCATAGATAGAAGGTTAGGTTAGCCTAGAACCACGATAGTAGGAATTTATACTTTGGACAGCGATTAACGACGAATATTACAATTATTGTGATTCTTGATTTAGAATACAAAACTTCGTCAAAATGGGACACATTATACCTATAATCTATATATACTTTGATATCGAGGTCCTGTGGGATCATCATAGTAATATAGCGTAAGCTTATATTGATTTTTAGGCCGATAAAGCCGATAAAGCCCATAAAGCCGATGATCTGGAAGTTGTATTGTTTGAAGACGTGGCGTCCACGATCAGATATACATAGGTATAGCTATATAATATTATAATACCTCGAGTTTTTGTAATCGGAGAGAACAACATAATGTATATTATACCGTATAAACTCTTGTGCACTCGACGATGCAGTGTGGTGTCTGAAAGAGAGCGACCGTAGTCGTAATAGCTATAATATAATAATACGTTGTATTCAGTATGAGATAGAGTCAACGAGATAAAGTGATCGGATAAGAAACAAACGAAACGGTATTATTCGAGTTATTTTGTGTAGGTATATATATATATTTGACTTTATATTACTCTGCACGTATATGGTTGCCCCTGACCCCTGCTCTTACCGGAGACGCAGCAATTAGACCGATCAGAGAGAACACAATATTGTATTATGTGTACGTATATTAAATTATATATATAGATTATGGGTATACCTATACAAGCGGATAAAAGAGTTTTTGAGGGATTTGTACAAACATCATTGCTAAAGAAACCCTAAGTGGACAAATGTCAGGAAAAAGCCTCCCATGTGTTTGTCTAAGAGAGACAAAAACCGTTAAAAAAAAAAAACGATTTGCCAATAATCTACAGAAACAAAAAAAAGGAGAACGTTGGCTGTGCAATATCGTTTTTATATTTTCGATATCGGAAGTACAAAAAAAGTTATTCAAGTTTGAAAAATACAAAAACAAATGTATTTTGAAACAATAATAACTTTTTTCATATAAGTGATATCTAAAAAATAAAAACGATATTGCACAGCCAAAGTTCTCCTTTTTATGTGGTGAAAATTTTGTTTCTTAATTATGACTGTAGCTTTCTCGGTTCTTTCTCGTGCAAAACATTGTTTTGCTATGTTCTACATTTGTAAGACGGAGACAACACATGCGGGTGTAGCGTCCTCTTAATAAACGTTTACGTAAAATTTCGGTAATAGTTTGAAATATTTTTAATTATAATTGTAACAAGATTTTTTTTATCATAAATAAACACACCATTTTAAATTGTTTATTAGGTAGTAATATACTGATATGCAACTACTTTGGTATTAATAATTAATATGATGAAAGCCTACCATAAAAAAATATGCATACATATAAGTCAGTGACAAGTGTGTTTCGGCTAAATATGGGTTGGGACTAGTGTTCCATGAGGGAAAAAGGTTGGGAAACGCTGGTTTATCGTGTCAACGACGGAATATGCATATTATAAAAAAACGTTTGATATTATACTCCAAATAGACTTACAATTGGTACCTATACCCTATGCACAATATACCGCTATTACAATATTATGTGTAATACGTACAATGTTCTTGCCATAATTAGGAGGTATCCGTCTGATAATATTAATAATTAGGGAACGGATTTTATTGTAAATACATATTTTTATTGGAATGAGATATTTTTAATCTGATAAAAAATGTGCACGATTCAGATCATTCTTATTAAAATAAGCCTAATTTTATTTTACATATTTTTACACATTTGGGTAAAAATACATATATTCGCATATTTTGTAAATAACTGAATATTTCGTAAATATTCGGGTATTTTTGGTTTTTTTCGTCAATTTACAGCGACGTCAAAAATTATTTGCCTTATCTTAATGGCCTTCAGATACCCTATGGTCTATAAATTATACGCTGTCGATGAAAGCCTAAAATAATGATATTTGTAATTTTCAATGATGATTGATAAACATTATCTACGTTCTCTAAATGCACTTACGTACTTAATACTCTGCTATCGTATTATACACTGTGGACAAGTGGGTAGGTAACGTGTTTATTCAATGTTACAGCTTCAGTCTTCAGTGTATGTCTAGTTACTGTTCTGGCGGGTGTAATTATTTGCATCGTTTTTTTCTTCATATCTACATCGAAATTTTGTTGTTTTTTTTATAAAATTGTTTAGAATGCCTAAAGTTGTAAGTTCAATCAATAATAAGGTAGCCGCATATTTAAAAGAATTTCCGAATGAAACATTTCAAAGTGATGGGAAAGTTTTATACTGTAAATGTTGTGAAAAATCGGTATGCTATCATTACGTCAGTTGATGTGGAACGTTCATTCAGTCAATACAAAAACATTTTACCACCAAATCGCCACCATTTATTTTACGTTTTTAAATTTTAGAGAATATGTAGTTTCGCATTGTTTTAATAATTATTAATTAGATAAGAGGTAAGATTTTTATACTTACTTTTGGTACTCATTTTTTCTGTTAAGCGGTTATTACATATTTTGATTTTTTTTTACATATTTCAATAAAAATAAGTACATATTTATGTACATATTTTGATTTTTTTATTACAATAAAATCCGTTCCCTATTAATAATATTATGTATGATACCTATAATAACTAAATAATTATAAATATTCGTAAAATAATATAATTGCGATGCTAAGCACAATACGAGCTGATAATATTTACGACGTGCGAAATCTGTACACTCGTACCCCCATCATTGATTTTTATACTGCAAGACACGACGGAAAACCATCATCGGCCGCCGAGACACGTGACATTGACGGAGATTTTTCGCACGCACTTGACCGTTCCTCCGTGTTTAAAGACATCGCGACCGCCCCCGAAACCGCCAAGTCATCATGTTAGTTTCAAGCGATTGTCTATCGTATTTATAATATTATTACCCGTTCGTTTGTCGGCACACTCTCCGTAGTCCGTAGTCGATCGTCAACTATCGCGCGTGCTCTGTTCGCTGCATATGC